TTAACCCACTACAGTTCACTTTATGGACCCCTAAAATACACTTCCACCCATACGTAAAATATTTTAATCCTGGCCGGTGCCGCGGCTCAATAGGCTAATCCTCCGCCTTGCGGTGCCAGCACACCGGGTTCTAGTCCCGGTCGGGGCGCTGGATTCTGTCCGGTTGCCCCTCTTCCAGGCCAGCTCTCTGCTGTGGCCCAGGAGTGCAGTGGAGGATGGCCCAAGTGCTTGGGCCCTGCACCCGCATGGGAGACCAGGAGAAGCACCTGGCTCCTGGCTTCGGATCAGCGCGGTGCGTGGGTCGCAGTGTGCATGGCCGCAGCGGCCATTGGAGGGTGAACCAACGGCAAAAGGAAGACCTTTCTCTCTGTCTCTCTCTCTCTCACTGTCCACTCTGCCTGTCAAAAAGAAAATATTTAAATCCCATTCCTACAAGCCCAAAAGTCATAAACCATTCCAGCATCAATTATATATCTCCAAAACTCATCTGAATGTGATTAACTCAAAAAGTGCTGAGTCTTATCTAAATCAGGAATTTTTGATACTCTGCCTGGTATATTCCAATACTAACTTCTTCTCTGTTGTGTGAACCTGCAAAACTAGAAACCAGATTATCTGCTTCCAAAATAAAATAATGGAACAGGCACAGACTAATCATTCACATTCCCTTGGGAAGCAATTGGACAGATTAAAAGTTCCAAATACAGACTTGGTTTTAAGGCATGGGAAAATTTCTCTGAGGCTTGATTTTCTGTCCTGTAGGTTCTTATGTATAGTTCCACCCTCAGTGGTAGAACTGGTATCTACCTTTGTATTCAGGAGTCTGTTCCTGAAATCATTTTTCTGTTTTCTCGAAGAATAGCATGTAGTTGCAGTTGAGTAATTATATTAGCTTGTTTTCTGTTTGTATAATTTTGGGAATTCAATAGCATTTTAATTTTGTATCATCTCTAACCCTTTCAGACCAATATAACAGAGTTCTGCTAGTTTCAAAATGTTTGTGGAAAATATGTTATCATTAAAAACCTGTGCATGGATTCCAAAATGTTTTGCACTAAAATGAATTTATTTTTTAATTCCATTTTCCATGAACTTTGTGAAGTACCCTGAGATTTGTAGTATATCAAGCTAATCTATGTCATTAGACCAGAGGGTTCCCCACAAATCCTTCTTAGATAAGCTCACCTCTATATTTGGCTTCTCCTGATTTGGTTCATTAGGCACCTCTTCAGTCTCTTCAGAAAAGGTTTCTCAGCTCATCCTTGGCCATGTAACTAGAGTATACTTTGACATGTGTTATAGTCTTGATAGACTGAGAATTTTCCAGATTATCAGGTTCTGGTTCGTTTTGCTTAAAAGTTTTCCCATCAGTTTATCTTTTTTCTCACATATTTTACTGTTGGCAGCAACAATAAACCAGTCTGCACCTTTAACACTTTTTTGGAAATTTTCTTAGTGATGCATCCAAGTTCATTACTTAACAGTTCTGTTTTACACCCTACATTGTAAAACATTTCAGCCAATTTTTCTGTCACTTTGTAAAAGGTATTACCTTTCCTCCATGGTCCAGTACTGTTTCCTTACTTTCTTCTTGAGACCATACCAGAGGCAGAGTCATATTTTCACTAAAATGCTTTCATGACAATACATGTTTCTCTAAGGCGGTAGCTTTTACTGCCATCATCTTACGCTTCCCTCTGAGCCTTCATCAGAATTGCTTAACATCCCTATTTTTACCAACAGCCTCTTTTATTTTATTTATTTATTTATTTAATTAATTAGAGATGGAGATCTTCCATCTGATGGTTTACTCCCCAGATAGCCATAACAGCCAGGGCTGGGCCAGGCCAAAGCCAGAACTAGGAACTTCATACAGGTCTCTCATATGGTGACAGGGTCAGACACTTGGGTCATCTTCTGCGTTTCCCAGGCCATTAGCAGGGAACTAGATTGGAAGTGAAGCAGCCAGCGTTGCAGGTGGCAGCTTTACCCACTACTCCACAGTGCTGGCCCTACCAACAACCCCTTTTAGACAATCTTAGCTTTTTCTGTTATCAGTTACCTGTTAGACAATAACCCACTTCCTGTTACCAATATCTGCATTAGTTCTTTTTTTTTTTTTTTAAATTTGACAGGCAGAGTTACAGACAGTGAGAGAGAGATAGAGAGATAGAGAGAGAGAGAGAGGGAGGGAGAAAGAAAGGTCTTCCTTCCATTGGTTCACTCCCCAAATGGCCCCCAGCCAGGGCTGCGCCAATCCAAAGCCAGGAGCCAGGTGCTTCTCCTGGTCTCCCATGTGGGTGCAGGGCCCAAGCACCAGGCCATCCTCCACTGTCCTCCCAGGCCACAGCAGAGAGCTGGATTGGAAGAGGAACAACTGGGACTAGAACCTGGTGCCCATATGGGATGCTGGCGCCGCAGGTGGAGGATTAACCAAGTGAGCCATGCCGTCGGCCCCTGTATTAGTTCTGTAGGACTGCCATGACAGACTTCCTCAGACTGGTTGGCTTAACAAAACAGAAATTTATTTTCTTGGTTTTGGGGTTCAGATGTCGAAAATAAGGATGTCAGCAGGATATTGTTCATTACACAGACTCTAGGGGAGAATATTTCCTTTCTTCTTCCAGCTCCTGCTGTTCTTTGTCTTGTGACAGCATAACTCCAATCTTTGCCTCCATTTGTACATTGTTGACTTCTCTGTATGTCCTATTCTGTCTTTTATAAGGATATTTTCATTGGGTTTAGGACCTTCTCTAATCTAATATGATCTCTTATTTATCTGCAAAGACTCTATTTCTATTTGGTCATGATCTGATGTTCCACGTAAACAAATTTGTGGATAAGAAGAGGAGGTTCTTATTCGACCCATTACAATCTCTTTTTAGGTCATTATATTTATACATAACCAGTATTTATACATAAACTCTTCATCGATTTTCAAAATTAAAAGCTTATGTAAAATTATTTTCTTTTTTTCAAAAGATTTATTTATTTCACAGGCAGTTACATATACACATACACACACATGTACACACACAGAGAGAATGAGAATCTTTCATCTGCTGATTCATTCCCCTACCTTCCACAATGTCTAGGGTTGGGCTAAACTGAAGCCAGGAGCCTGGAATTCCACTGGGTCTCTCACATAGTGTCTATGAATGGATGAAAGAATATATTCAAGGGCTGGCACCACGGCTCAATAGGCTAATCCTCTGCCTGTGGCGCTGGCATACCGGGTTCTAGTCCTGGTCAAGGAGCCGGATTCTGTCCCCATTGCTCTTCTTCTAGTCCAGCTCTTTGCTGTGGCCTGGGAGTGCAGTGGAGGATGGCCCAGGTCCTTGGGCCCTGCACCCGCATGGGAGACCAGGAGAGGCACCTGGCTCCTGGCTTTGAATCAGCACGGTGCGCAGGCCGCAGCGTGCGTTGCCGCAGTGGCCATTGGAGGGTGAACCAACGGAAAAGGAAGACCTTTCTCTCTGTCTCTCTCTCTCTCTCTCACTGTCTAACTCTGCCTGTCAAAAAAAAAAAAAAAAAAGAAAGAAGGAAAGAAATTATATATTCAAGCCTATTATTGTTACACCGAGAAAACTTACTTCTATAGGTTGTAAGATAAAAGGGGGAAATGTGGTAGGTTCATAAAAGGAACAGATTAAATAAAACATATCAGAAAAGTGAAATGTGCCAAAACAATAGGAGATGAGGTGAGGGGAAGACTGTAAAGAAAATTAAAAATGAGAAATAATTCAATGAATAGTTTTCTGTTAAAAGATAGGAAACTAATATATTTGGTTTCTTGCAGCTTCAGTCAAATTAATGATATATTAGAGTCACTGTAGTCTTGATATTCAGTCAAGTCAAACTGCTTGTGTCATTTCCCAGAAGAAAATGGTAGGAACTAGTTTATGTATTATTCATTATGTAAATTAAAATGAACATATTATTTATATACTAATAATTCACTAATGTGGTTGTATATGTTATATAAGGTCTGTGCAATGATATTTATCTATGCATTGCTTAAAGATGGGAATACATTGAAAAATGATTTGTTGGGTGACTTCATTGTGAGAACATCATGGAGAATTCTTACACAAATTAAGATATTTATGACATCATTAAGCTATATAATTTTATGGGACCACCATTGTATGTGAAGCCTGACATTAACCAAAATGCCATTATGTATTTGACTGTATTTGAAGGTGAATATTCACATGCTATTATCTTCTTTTACAAGTAGAAATTTGTTTTTTTGATGTAGACACTGAAAAGTCACACATAGTGAAAACAAATGCAAACTAAATCGCAAACACACATCGTCTAAACATGTACAAATTAACATTTCAAATAAAAGTAGAGATGAGGCATTTCCCCCCCTCAGTTATAAGAACTGATGTAGAATTATTATAGTTCAAAATTCAACAGCTTTTGGCCCTTAAGTCTGTATCAGAAATATTATTTTGCCTTTGAATTTTGCCATTCACAATAATGTTCATCCCTCATATTTAATAAATATCTGATAAACAGTATTACACACCAGTACTATAAAATGTTTCTCTACTGCCTCTTGATTCTTAAAATTAATCTCCTATATTCATGCTGGCCTGTAGAAGTAAATGTTTATGTCCTCTCTATTGCTTGCCAATTGTCTTGGTCTAGAAGAATTTGGTATATCAGATGTCAGAAATGTCCCTGGTTGACCTATCAACTCCTTGACCACAATTCTTTCCACATTGAATAATGTTTTATAATATGCTGTATTATCCAAACGTGACTTCTCTGGTGCTTCTCTGGTGGACAAAGAATTTTAATACTCATATTTTTAAAAATTATTTTGTCTAAAGTGTCATCTGATATCAGAATTTGAAATCCCATTGACCTACTAAGAGAGACAAATGTGTCTTGACAATTCAGAGACATTTAGTCATATTACATTCTAATTCATCTCAGCCTGGATGAAAGAAATCTTTACCTAATATAATTTTGATTTCCTGCTTTAGGAATCCTGAAACCATGGATCAATTACATATTCTTTGAGACATGCTTTAGATGTTTTTCTGGAAGCACCGCTACTACCCTAAAAAATTGAATGTATTATAAAACAGATCCATGGTAAGTGGGCATTTTTTCTTCTGTCGGTTTCATGTTCAAGTTAAATCTTGTGACTGTTGTAATGCTGCTCCCTGCTGGACAGAGTATAATTTTCTGAAGTTGGTACTTAATAGATGGGCAAATAACTGGTTAGCTGGATCCTACTAAGGAGCGAATCCTCAGCTACTTTCACAGAAAATATATAATATACAACAAAAGGAACTCTATTATTGTAATTGTGCTACACTGTTGCCATCATACTGATATCTGGAGCCTAATGAAAGCAATCTGATTTCTAAGCTTTTATGTGTGCTTCCTGGTTGGTGGCACCTAAGTTATAGCAAACATGCATTGATGGATACTTGTGAGTGGTGACTGTTTTAGGACTTCTAAAATACAAGTTTTTTTCTATGCAAATAATTTTACCGTTATAGTGATGACATATTTTGTTGTAATTCCAATTCTCTGTACTTTTGTTTTTTTAAAAAGGAAATATTTAAAACTCTTTCATTATAATTTCAATTAGATAATATTTTTATCTACTTTTAAATGAATACTATACTAGTATAGTGATCTTCAAGTATAACTTGTATTTTTGTCCTGTGATCCCACTACTGTGTTTTCTATATTACGCAGTTAACCATATTTACACAGTGACCCTGGGGTGGACTTAAAGTGTAGTGTCTGTGACCACCTATCACGGACCTCACATTGCATATATATACAGGTGTTCTCAAAGTTGATTTATAATTTGCAAGAATTAGAAGTGTGTTTCTTCTTATATTCAAGTTAAATACTGAATATTTTGGAGTGCAGCTGCACAAAATTTTTGCTTGGATATACATTGGAAATTTTCCTTTTAGGTAAGTATGCATTGTCTTGAACATAAGAAAAAGTGACAGAAATAACATTGAATGGCTAAGCAAACATCTAGTATAACCTGTTAGATGCTGTAGAGGCCTGGTATTTTGTGGGTGTGTGTATATGTGTGTGGTCACTGGGAAAGTGTGTGAAATCTGTACTTAATTAGGATTTTTGGAGAATTAGGCATAGTAATTTGTTTCTTTATTATTAAAATATTCTAACAGAAATTAGAAATATAGGCCAAGAAAATAAAATTGTTTGCAAAAAAAGAAACCTCTCTTTTCTGTAAAAATATATCAATGGTTTTTTAGAAAATATATCATTTTATACTGTTAGGCTTTAAAATATATGATATGAAATATATTTGTATAATACAAGGAGTAATTATGTAATAATTATGTAGCAACTATCTATGTCACTATAAAGCATTACTGTCATCCCAGAAACTACAAAGCATTGCTGTCATCCAAGAAACCCTTATTTTTTTCAGGGTAACCAATATTATACCTTTATGATAGTTAAATATCTAATTTTCTATATAACTTTATCATTTTCATAGGTATTCTTAAATGGTATGCTTAGTTTTGTTTCTTTTTAATCCTTGTGGAATCTTAGTTATTTTCTTTCTTAGTAAATATCTTGAATAGCCATCATGTCATTATGTGTAGTTTTATTCCATTCAGTTTCATTATTATGTATTATTCCTTTGACATAAATATGCCAGAATTATTCTACTGTTGTTGGATAGTTTGGGTTGTATCTGCTCTTTGGCTATTATAAACAACTTTGACATGAATGTTCTTTTACAAATATCCTGATTACATATCACTTTTTTTTATCATCTGTGAGATGACAAGTGATTCATTTAGATTCAGTGATTCAATTTAGAAAATATTTAATATCACAGGTACTTGATTATAGTGTTATTTTAAGAGAATTTAAATGACTCCATAAGAAATTTGTCATATCTTGAGAGTAACAAATATTAAAAACTGAAAAAAGTTCTGAAATGATTGTAATTTTCTTTAAGGACTTAAATGTATGATAAAGAGATATAAGTTTGAGGTAGTTTAAATATGGAATATGTATGGATAGAGTATAGTATAGATACGGAGTTTAATGAACTCTTTGTTTTACTTTGTTAGCACTGTCATTGTGTTTATTAGCATGTCAGGCTTTCTATAACCCTTCTATGGAGGTCTAGAGAGATTGAGTCACTTGAACAAGGTCATTTAGCAAGTTGGAGCTAGAAACCAGACCAACCTGTCTACTTGGCAGTTTTATCTTAAAGCAAACAAAGTAAAATCAGCGCGTTTTCTTGAGTGTGTCCAGTCATTTAAGAGGAAATTTGACTGAATTTCAAATTTCAGTTCTTTCTTATGGCTCAGAGTTGTCATTATGTATATCAGTCATTTGCAGAATTAAAATAAAGTGATTTCCTCAGAAACACTGCCTACGACTGATGGACTGTTTTCTCCTAAATTTTTCCAGACTGATAGGTGAGCTTTTGTTTCCTGAGAGCTTCTTGTGATGTGATTTTTTTATTGCTTCATTTTACCTTTCTCAAGTAATTCTTATCTTTTATTCTTAGTGCATTTCATTAAGTTATAGTTAAAATCAAAGCATTTGCCTAACGGTATACAGTATTTAGGGAACTCTTTCTTACGTTATGGTTCTATCCTATCTATTGAGTAAAGACCTATAATGTATGACATCTTTTCCAAATTTCCTTTCTATCAGCAGCTACTGAAATGGTCTCTCAATAACTGAAATGCAATCTAAATTGCATATATTCTGGTTTATCCTTATTTGGGAAGTAAACATGATCATTTAAATGTTTCTTACTAAAAAGTTATCATCCATTTGGAACTGGATTTATTTAAGGATTCCTTCAAATAGGAAGTCCAATGGACTTATGTATTTGTTTTCTAGTTGTTAAATATTTGATAGGATGAGAACTGAGATAAAAATAATGCATTAGATGATATTGCTTATTACAAATGGCCATCAGAAAGATTAAATAACCTCTGAAATAATAGATTTTTAAGGAAAATATAGAAAGCATATACATGTTTTAAGAAAATATTTGTTTAATAGAAAAATACATTTTTTAAAAGATTGATTTATTTGAGAGGTAGAGTGATAGAGGGAGAGACCAAGAAAGATCTTCCATCTGCTGGTTCATTCCCCAAATGTCCACTATGGCTACAGCCAAGCCTGTGTGAAGCTGGGAGCTTCTTTTAGGTGTCCCACATGCGTGCAAGGGCTATCTTCCACTGCATTCCCAGGCCATAAGCAGAGAACTGGATCAGAAGAGGAGCCACAGCATGAGCCAGCTGCCCATTGTGGATGCCAGTGCCATAGGCAGAGGCTTAGTCTACTATACCACAGCTCTAGCCCCGTGAAATACATTTGACTGCTTGCCTCATTATAAACTGTCAAATATGAATTGAAAAATCAGGAATAGGGAATAATTTGTTTTCAGATCACAAAAGAAATTGAGAAGAAAAATAGACATTTGCTGTCCTACCACATTAGTCATCAATATGATGATTTACTGTATTGATGAGGACGTTTTGAATTTGAAAATTTGTTTATTTATTTTAGGATTTATTTATTTATTATTTGAAAGAGAGAAAGAGATAGAGGAAGATCTTGCATTTGCTGGTTTATTGCCCGAATACCTGCAATAGCAAGACCTGGGCCAGGCCAAACCCCAGAGCCAGGAACTCCATTTGGGTCTCCAACATGGGTGTCAGATATCTAAGTACTTAGGCCATTACTGTTGCCTCCCGTGCACATTTGTAGGAAGCTGGATCAGAAATGAGTAGCTGGAGCTTGAACCAGGCACTATGATAAATGGAATGTGGGCATCCCAAGTGGAGGCTTAACCTGCTCTGTCAGAATGCCCACCATTAAAAATTAATTTGCTTTTAATCTAATTAATGAATTTTACAAATGCATTTGTGAAAAAGTAAAGAGTCCTATAGTTTATTGATCTGAGATGTCTATATAGTAGAAGTGCAAATTGACAATTCTATTCTAGAAAAAGAACAATGCATGTAACTTTTGTCACAGTACCAATCTGGGAATTTATTACAGATATACCTGTATACTTACAAAGTAACATATATATAAATAGGAGTTTTCATCCTGGCTTTGTAATAACAAAAGATTGGAAACACCTTTAATGTCTATCTAGGGTAATGATTAAATGAACTATAATATAGCTATACAATGAGATACTTAACAGTTACAACAAAGGGCAAAAACAAAAACAAATCAGCAATATGCAGATTGGAAAGTTTTCCTGCATGAATTGTTATTTGAAAAAATAGTACAAAACAGAGCGTATATGAAATTACTTTTTGTGTAAAGTGGTACAAGAAAAATCATATTATTTATATTTGCATAAGGACCATCTGGAAGAGTACACAAAACTATCCTATGCAAGGATGGGGAAGAAACTGAGGTACATGGGACTTTTACTATATATCTTTTAGATGAATTTTTGAGAATTAACATACATTATTTAACATGTGTTCCTGTCTAAAAATTATTTATGAAATAAGAGTGAAAGAAAGGGGGTAAGTCTGCTTTATTTACTTTAAAATTGGCCATCTTTGTTCATTTATCCCAAATCTGGCAGATAGTAAGCAAGGAATAAATATTTGTTACACAAATAAGCAATGAACTCTATATTCTTTGAATGATCTTTCTTACATTTCTGTACCATAGTCAAAATGATTTATGATTTGTAATACTTTTCCCCCTCATTTTGAAAAGTTATTTTCAGAAATAAGGTAAGAAATGAAATGTGACTAGCATTGTGATGCAACAGGTTAAGCCGCTGCCTGCAATGCCAGCATCCCATATGGGTTCTGGTTCAAGTCTCAACTGCTCCACTTCCCAATCCAGCTCCCTGCTATTGTACCTGGAAAAGCGGCAGAAGATGACCAAGTGCTTGGGCTCCTGCCACCCACATGGGAGACCCATATGGAGTTTCAGGCTGTTGACTTTGGCTTAGTCCAGCCCTGGCTATTGTGGCCATTTGGAGAGTGAACCAGCAGATAGAAGAACTCTCACTGTTTATCTCCCTCAAATAAATAAATAAATCTTGCATCTGCTGGTTTACTCCCCAAATGGCCAAAGTGAAG